CATAACTGATATAAACAGAGGCTATACAAATATGAGTAGCGAATTTTGCATGAATGTTCAGTCACTGAAATCCATCGACTGCTTTCGAAAACGCTCATATTGCATTAAGCAGGGTATTTAGTGTTCACAATCCCTTAATTTTATATCAGCACTTCCCCCCACCCACCCATGATTCCTCTGTCTATATCCCGATCTTTGTAATCTCCTGTCCCCCAAAAAATTCACAAAACTAATTCTCCTGTACTACAATACATGGCACATATTCTCACATGTATATGAAACATAAAGAATCCATTACGAAACAAAGGCAGACAGGCCTACAATAACAGCCGCAGTGTGGCCGCCTCTCAGGGTCACCAATAATCCTAAATATACCGCCGCTCTTCCCTTCGGACCCGGCATTCGCCCCTGCATTATTAAACACGCTGTATCGACTGAACATACTCGTAAGTGGCTTTGAACAGAAAATGTAGGACTGTCAATGGCAAGGTGGAAAGTGACAGAAAAACATGGACCCGGCCTGTTTGAGGAACCCATTCCGACTTGTTTTTATATGAAACTGAAGAAAACCGCTGGGTGGCTCATTCGGTATAGTAGTTAAGGGCTGAACGGCCGAGGAATAGGGATTCGATTCTCGGCAGGGTCGGCACAGCGTTCAAACCGACCCTGAAACCTAAGCGGCCTCCTGCCCAGAGTGCACAGGGCTCTTTCGCCGGGGATAAACCGGCCGGAGAGTGAAACTGACCATTCATCTTCAAACAGCTTTGAGTTATGCCTTCATTACCCATACTTCTCAATTGTGTGGTGTATATTAAGCACACGGACTTTGTCTTTGTCTTTCTTTATCTTCAGTTAGGATGGCCGGTGCCCAGGTTGGGGTTAGAACCGGATACCTCAAAAAATGCAAGTCAGAAACTTTACCGCTGGAGACAACTTGCAAATAGTGTGTTGGGGGGGAAGGGGGGTTGCATTGGCACGATCATCTTCCCGAGTTTAACTAAAATCGGCCAGTTGTTTCAAAAGTTGTTAGCAGGGCAATAGGGTAACAGGCAACAAACAATACGCAATTTTCCCTCAGCTTCATTTTTCGTTGGAAAGTAGCTAAGATGTAAGAACAACCATTTTTGCAAAATTCGACGTAAAAATCTCAAAACTGACAGAACTGGCCTCATGTTATACTCAAGGAATATGCTAACAAACTGATTAATGATACGTACAGGAAATAAACTAGCGATTCCTTCGTCAAAGAGTAGAATATCAGACACTTTACGAGGGAGAACACTCAATACTCTCATACGTATAAGTGACTATAGACGGGGTTTGAACTGGTAATTGGATTTACTGAACTCCTGCAGATCCTTGACTACAATCAATAATAACCGTTTCACTAATTCACACACTTTACAGTTCACTAAAGCATAGCTCTGAGCTTGACGTGTCTTCCTCTGGGTTCCCAAAATGTCCCCGGTCACAGCTACAACTTTCGACTAACTAGTCACTCACCAACCAACCAATTAACGAACTAACTCACTGACTGTCTTGTTTATAACATCTCGGCACGGACAGCACAGAAAACACTGTCCCTCTGTTGCCGTTTACGGCCCATTGCGGCCGCTGTCTAGTTGCTTCTTTCGCGGTCGTTGCCTAGCAACGGGTCTAGAAGCCATAATATTTTGTGTTCAGCCCTTTCAGTAACTTTGCCCATACTAATTTGGTCTCATTTTATTCATTCCTCAACTCAAATCGTATCTGTGTCCATCAACACTCATCACCACCTCTTAAGGCGCGTCCACATTACGCGTGCTCGTGTGACTCGCTATGCTCGCGAGTAATGTGGACGATATGACAAGTCACGAGACAAGCAAATTTTAAATTTTAAATTTAAAAATTATAGCGAATAAATTAAAATACGACTACAGCCTATACACAGTAGGAGTAAATATACGAATCCTAACGCGCCGAAGCCTGGCGAGCAACTGAAGAAGTGTGGACGAAGATTTACGAGCACAAGTAAAAGCCAGACGAGTCTCCCGACGAGCACGAGTACGAGCACGAGTAATGTGGATGCGCCTTTATACAATCACCAGCAGAGCATGTCGAAAGATTCTGCTAGTGAAGTTGTGACCAAGTGTTGAAGGAGAAATGAGAAATGTTATATCCTTAAACTTACTGCCCCGCACCGCTGACACTGCAGGGATACCGAATGACTGCGGAAATACACCATCCTCTACCTTGGCCAGCAGGAAAACCCATGCGCTATTAAGGTGGTAAGGGGAAAACGACAATTTCCAAGTGAGGATATAGCAACGAGCTCTTTCATGTATAAGCGTCTGTGTTTTCCGAACTATTTAACCTATGCTCTGAGCACACAAACAGGGACAAACCTTCCGTGCCCTTGTTTATTTAAACTGAAAACAGCAATCACGGACCGCGATTTATTTATGCTATAATTAATGCGAAGCAATATTACAAATTAAAAATGTAACTATGTGCGCTGGACTGGCAGCGCGAAAAAAAAAACAACATCCAGGATCGTAATCAGGGTTACATTTCGGAATGGGGTTAAAAACAAGTAACCAAAGGCAAACGGATTTTGGGCTTCATTTATTGTTTCTTAAACGGCGCTTTTTAATTGCTAAGATTATATACCGTTGAATGACAGGATGAATAATGAATCAAAAGGATGTGGGAGGAAGCAACAGTGGACTAATGCTACGTGCTCTTCCGGCATTTGCATGCCGCAAATGAGCCTGTCAAGAGATCAGACAGTTGAGGCCGGGGAACTCCCGAAGGATGAGTATTGACCACGCGACCGCAAGGTCCGGTAATAGCTCTTGGAGTTGACACAAATTTCCATCAGTTACACCATTAAATTCCAGCAGTATAAGACTCTAATTCTGAAAGCTGTGACGAATGCAGGAAGTCGGAACCATTAAAGGCAAGGCAGCAGCATGGATCAGCAACTACTACCTGAGCCAAAACACAATTTCCTTAGTTCAGTCCAGTTGAGCCCTACATAAGTATGCGAGTGGCCAATACGTTCTGAAAGGATGCTATACACAGTAGATTAGTCTGTTTACATCCCTTCCTCCCTCGACGGTCCCTTCATCGCACAACCCACTTCCTCGCCCCGCAAGTGTCAAGATTACAAACATACATTCTCCATCTTATACGCTATATACACTCAGAAAGAGGCAGTGAGCCGAAATAGGAAATCACACTCCAGAATTACGGCATAATTCGGTCTACAAGAGATTATATAACCTCGACCATTATCCAGATCGGTTGGTCTTTTAGAGACGTGTAATCTTTATTCACAGATCTATAATTACAGAGAGCAGAAGCGGTGACTGGGATCGAACCCAGTCCTTTCTGAGTACCAGACTAGTACGCTACCTACAATATTAATGGGAAGGCGCAGAATTGCAGTTACAGCTGTTCTATCCCTTTGAGCCTGAAAATCCTGTTAACGTCGCTTAAGGAAATGACCGAGGTTTATTCTGAGAATCACATGAAACACATAAATACAATGTGCGGTCAAAATGTAATGCCCTTAATATTAAAGCAGGTAGTGGGTATAGTAAGCCCCGTGCTATAAAGGGGTCTGTTACTTGCGCGATTACTTTCTGTATCACAGTACGGGGAGCTCATGTCAAGGCTTCGTTGGCTAACGACCTCTTCTAGTGGCCCATAGGCTTATACTAAAAAAGAACTCCGTGGTCTGTAGTCCGCATGCGAAGTATACCAACAGAGCGACCGCCGCTTGTCGGCAAAGTTAGTGACAACTTTTGTGGATAGAGGGTGTCGCATGTTCAGTGCAACGGATACCCACGGCCGTTAATTTCGGTTTTCTAGGCCGGAGCCGCTATTTCCTTGAAATAGCTCCTCAGTTATCCTCACGAGGACGGGTGGACCCCGTTCCAGACCCAGTATTTATCAGAACATCTGGTACCGCCGGTGAATTGAACCCGGACCTCTGGATCTGTAGCCAGGAACTCTGACCACTAGACCACAGTCCTATAGGCCTATAAATAAGATTTAAATGTGACGGTATATTAAAAAGATTATCGAGTTTTTGGACATTACCATCGTTTTTTATTTAAAAAAAACGTTTCGGAGATCTGATTTCCTTTCCGTCCTCAAGCAAAAGCGTACTCGGTTACACCCAATCAACAGAAATCCACATGACAATGGATAACGTCCAAAAACTCCATAATTGTAGGCTTAAATATATGTTTAACTGCCTTCCTTTTTAGGGTTCAGACAAATGAAGTTGCTTTATGCCGTTTTCTGAATACACATCCAAAAATAATTTTAGCAGAAAAATAAAATTCCAATCTGAAACTGTAGTCACAGCGTTGCTAATATCGTACTGGCACGTGTTTCACGCGGGTTTGGATTGGTAATTGGATTTATTAATAACCTACAGGCCGTTACTACAATTAATTATTACATTACTGCTCCTTTACACAAGTAAAATCACTCCACACCGACCTCTTCAGCCTATCTGCACTAGTCTTCACGGGTTTATAACACGGGGACCTATAACAGTCTCGGTGAATCACGCGCTCCAAATATTACACATAAATAAAGTCTTCTAATCATCACTCGTTAAGTCTTCGCAGGCCGACCTCCTGTACCCCTCTTTACTCCTAGTTCCAATTTGCTCTGCTCGCGTGCTTCCGTCACTGCTATGTCTCTGCCAGCTTAGGAATTCTGCTCACTTATAGAGCCGAGGAACGGACGACCAACAATAAACATGTCACGTGATCACTGTCCACTGTTCTGACGTCACCGCGGGCACGGAAAACACAGCCTCCTCTACTGTTGCGTAACCTAGCAACGGAATGTGTTTACAGAGCTTTTGCCTGGCTACGCGTTGATCATATCCGTTGCAGTATTTTGAAAAGTGAAGTCATACACAGTACAGGCACAGGCTTGTCTGCGTGGCTAAGTTAAATCCAGTGATCTGGTGTTAGTAGATGAAAATGGATACTTACCAAGAGTTGCTGCAATCCCTGCTGTTGCTGCTGCTGAAAAAGAAAACAAATGAAAGTCATACAGTTATAAAATTAGCCATTATTTATATGAACACAAAATGTTACAATTCTGTCAAACCTCTGAGGCCGACTTGCGAAGCTGAGTTAACGTCACATACGAGTAATCTTCGTGGAGATGTCAATTAAACCAGTCGCATATATTGCCGCGGTAATACTCAGGCGCTGCATGTCAAGTGTCGACTTTTGTTAGCCCGTTTGTTAAGATTAGAACCCTCGGGAGCAACTGTACTGAACTGGTCTGTATACACATCTTCTGGGTGTCTGTTCTGGAAATAAACCATCTTCCAACTCTTTATAAACAAATTCATAATACATGATAAATACTAACCACACTTAACATACAAACATACATTATCAACATTTACATGATATGATACGCTCAAGCAGCTGTTCATTCATCCGAGATCTTTGTATATACTACTACAGAACCCAGCAAAACAGGTTCGAAAGATCGGAATTATTCGCTTTTTCGACTTTGTCCATTGTCCGGTATTCTAAAAGAAACACCAAACAAATAACGTTTCGGAAACTGAACATGTTTCCGTTATCAGGTCGGAAACACCTACTCTGTTGGGTTCGTTACAAAAAAGCAACTTCTACCGGACCCAACAGAGTAGGTCTCTCCAACCCCTTCACCTGAAGACGAGAACAAGTCCAGTTTCCGAAACGTTGTGTTCTTTAGGATCCGAGAGTCATAACATCATCGTTAGGACCCTTTAGAATCTACAGTCTCGTACGTATGAATGCCTTAAATTCAGCTGCTATATCATTTCAGCCCTGATGTCTGTTACATAAAAAGCGAAGACACGTCTGAAATACATTTATCAAGGTTTTCTTTTGAAACCATCAATTTTAAGCTACATCCGGAAGTAGCAAAGGTTAACACTCACGAACTGAAAATGTAGACGCAATAACAGAGTGAATGAGTAATGTTATGATATTCTCAAGTTTCCCAAATTGTTGAAATATTTGAAATAAACACCGCTAGGGATTACATGCACTGTTCCATACACTGAAAAAAAAATATTATTATTGTTAAACAATCTGAATAATTCTAAGGATTATCAGTGAATAACAACAAGGTAATCTGTCTTAAGGCCGGTCACGGTAGCCGAGCGGTCTAAGGCATGTACTGTCTTCGCTCGCTCGGCATGGATGTTTTGTATGTGTCTGTGTTTATTCTGTGTTTTTAGAGGCCTTGCGACGAGCTGATCATTCGTCCAAGAAGTCCCACAGTCTGTAAATTGATAATGAAACTGAAAATTCACAGGCAAGGGCCCAAGGGGGCTGTAGCCGAGCGGTCTAAGACATGTACTGTCTTCGTTCGCTCGGCATGGATGTTTTGTATGTGTCTGTGTTTATTCTGTGTTTTTAGAGGCCTTGCGACGAGCTGATCATTCGTCCAAGAAGTCCCACAATCTGTAAATTGATAATGAAACTGAAAAATCACAGGCCAGGGCCCAAGGGGGTTGTAGAACAAGCGAAAAAAAATTTGTATTAAGATTCCACATCCTACTGTTGACATACCACACGTGAAAATGGGACTCAAGACAAAAGTTCAAGGTCTTCCCCACTCATATAAAGACGCACACTAAGATACGGCCAATTATACATAACAAAGGCCTACATTTCTCTATCAATTGTCTAAAAAAAAACAATCCGCGTTCAGCGTTAAGAAATGAAAACGCACTAACCCAGCACCTAACCTCTCTGTACACAATGCGATGTAGTGATAGCAGCACTCGTGTAATTACATCCGCCATTAGTAATTACTTGCCATTCCGCGCAGTTCACATATCCCGTCCGATACTTGGAATACAATTCCTATTAGTCCAAACCTGTTACATAATGCGCCCGACGTTCGAGTCGCAGTAAAAGCGTTCTGACCGTTCCCCTCCAGCACCATGTCCACGATGATTTCGAAATTCGTTCAAACACCTAACGGATGGCTATGCAACTATTTATCAGAGTCATTAGGCCCGAGCGTGAAGCTTTATATCCATATTAACTAAATAACAGCACCAGAATCCTTCTTGTGCAGCCGATAGTAGCTAGTCAAACAACTGCCTTCACTTTAAGGAAACCCGAAGGTTCATTGCTGTATTCACAAAGAATCCATCACTGGTTAGTTCCCAACTGGAGCACAGGATATCCGCGAAAAGCTTGTTTCGCCTCAATTTCTTAATCTTAGATAGTCGGTAGAACACAGAATAAACGCAAATATCAATGCTTTAAGTGGGATTCGAACCCACGATCAGTGTTCGAGCGCGCGTAGACATTCCATGCCTTACACCGCGTGACCACTGTGATCAGCCTACTGGTCTCTACTCTGGGCCAAATTAATTCAGCCCATAAAAAAGTAAAAAAGTAAAGCTATCCCTGTACCAGGCTGTGAAGGCCCATAGGGTTGTGAGACGTTGAGGGTCCCACACTATCTAGACAATCGGATCAAAGATGGCGGTGAGGTTGTCAGCCTTAGGCGCCGGCCGCGCATTACTACCCAGGAAAATTATTTAATTAATTCCTGGTACTCATTTCTGTTAGAGGCAGAGTCAACCCGAGGGCCATAGTGCGGCTGGAAGGATTACTTCAATTGAAAAAAATCCAATCACCTCATCGGGACTTGAACCCGCGACCTTCCGACTTGTAGCATAGCCCCTCAACCAACTACGCTAAAGTGTGCCACAATTCAGCCCATACACGCACCTTATTTCTCTATCTTCCTAACTGCACCTAGCTCTATCAAGTTTACTGTCCTTCAGGCTTTACGACGAAAACACAGTCCCTTATGGTTACAAATATTTGGGTTCCAGAGCATAGCTGGATGGATCGTAATTATTTAACGATGCTTTGTCAACTTCAGAGGTTACCTAGCGTTCAAATATAGGAAAGCATGATCAAGACATTAACTCAAAATTCGCATGGACGGGCACAGGGAAATGACAAAACTCAGTTGCGAATGACCAAGTTTCGGACGAGACTCAAACCGGGCACGCATTGAGTACGATAACAAGTGTCTTTCCTTCTATTTGTACGGTAGGGTAAGAGTGAATCTACTTCGTATGCCGGTCACCACTGGGCCCACGCCCGGATGAAGCAGCTGGTGAAACTGAGAACTGGCACCGTTGGAGCCAACCTGCTACACTGAAAACTATTTGTCACTAACTGATGTCACAGCTTTCGGTAGAAGGGCCTTACTTACTTACTTACTTACTTATGTACTAATGGAGCTGAGTCCTTCTTGAAGAACCGCCAATTCTGCAGCTACTCAAGAATTTCCCAGCATTTTATGGAACCCGAAGTTTCATTACCGCGTTCACAAGAGCCTGGTCCCTATCCTGTCCGACGTCAATCCAATCCATACCATCCCATCCTATCTCTCTAAGGTCCATTTTACTGTCCACCCACCTACGCCTTGGTCTTCCCAGTGGTCAAGTTCTATCTTACATTCACAGTTACAGGACGGTCTAAGGCAAGAAATGTCTTAGCCTGCTCAAACGGTTGCATCATGGAGTCGAATGCAACTCAAGGTATGAATGTCTGCATTTCTTCTGTTTGTGTTATCCTGTGTGGGTAGCGGCCTTGTAACAGGCTTAATAACTGTCCAAGGGGTCCTGTCATCTGCCGATAAGAATTAATTATCATTGGGAACAGACCAGAGGGCCTGAAGACGAGAACTATGTTATTATTATGTGGCGTAGAAATGTGGACTGTACCTTATGCTGTAGCCAGGGGACCTCCGTACACTAGCCTAGTTAGAAGCGAGAATTTTTAGAGCAATATTTAAGCATACAAAACAGCTGAACAAGTAAACAATACATGCTAAATAAAATACAAAAAAAGGTAAAGCTATCCGCATAACAGGTCGTGGAGGCCCACTGGGTTGTGAGACGTCGAGATTCCCACATTTTCCAGACAAACGGCTCACAGATGGCGGTGAGGTTGTCAGGCTTAAATGCCGGCCACCCTTTACCGCCAAGAAGATTCCTGGTACTCATTTCTGTTACAGGCTGAGTCGACCCTAGCTTCACAGTGCGGCTGGAAGGATTAGGTTAACTGAAAACTATTCAATGACCTCGTCGGGAATCGAACTCGCGACCTTCCGGCTTGTAACACAGTGCCTCAACGAACTACGCTGCCGCGTGCCCCCCAATACAATGTCTAAGTACACAATATGCATAAAAATATGTTACTAATGCATCTCAGAGTAGATGCTTTTTCATCGACTTCTCCCAAGGCCAGTCATTTTTCCTTAATACTGCCGTGTTCCTTTCTCCTATTGGATTACTGGTTAAACCCATAAAGGGAGTATTGTGTGGACAGTATAATACAGACCATAATCCTCTTTAAGAGCTTAAAGACTTAAAGACTGTATTCTCTCAGAATTCAACAGAGAGCAAGAGGACAAGCGCTATGGAAAGATATACAGGTCTATGAAAAGTATTACCTATTAGCGACGTTTCAGAGGCACGTACTGTCTCATCTTCAGGCGCTCTAAGGAGTAAACTGAGAAAGCAAACAGCGAGAAGCAAGCAGCAAAGAGATATGACGATGGAGGCGATATATTCCTCCGAAACATCTGTGAGCTTCAACGGTCTACGCGGTTTCAAATCCCAAAAGACAGCAGCACTCCTCAGTGTCTCCGCTGTGAGTACCTCAAACCCAGTATGTGTGGAACTCAAACGCGCGGCGTGTTTCTACAAGTACACCAACTGGTACATGAAGGCTGCAGATATGAGCATTTAAACGAACGTATGAATATCAGTGTTACATGTCTAAGGAAGTTTCGAAGTTAAGAATACTTGGAACTATACCTCCATTTCCATGCCATCGTGGTGTAGTAGTACAAGAACAATGTGGTCTATTTTCTTTTTACATCTTAGGGACGCACTGGACTCACGCGACCGCTCTGTGGTCTAGTTGTCTGAGTTTCTGGCTACAGATCCAGAGGTCCGGGTTCTATTCCCGGCGCT